CTAGTTGAATTTGGTATTTAAAGACTCTTGTGATTTGTGGTAAGTTTATGTTTGCAACTAAAATCAAAAAAAATACTCTGCTTCGGTTGCAAAAACAAAATGTGTACGGGTGTATTATTACCACTGTTAAATTGAAGCCTTTTAAATAACTTACTGAAGATTCTTTTCAGGGAACCAGTGGGAGTCTGTTTCTACTTATGCTAACCTGAGACGAAGGCAATGTATATCAAATGCCACTTTCTTGTGATGCACTTCTGTTTCAAATCAAACAAGCTTTGCATCAGTTGCAGCCATCTGGATCACTTTTCCTAAGTAAAAGAGTGTTTCAGAATCTCTTTCATCTCTACTTTAGGTCTTTACAATTAAATGGGTTTCTTAACTTATGTACATATACATCATTTATTATGGACTTTTCTTTTAACATAGTGCTTAATTTCTCTGGATAATGCTTATTGTCTCTTCTATTTTTCTTCAACCTATCCCTATATTACAATCATAATCAGTAATACAGTTACGTTTTCTATTTGTATATGTACGGATCTTTTTGTGTAAAATTTAGCCAAATTCGCACTACCAGGTAAAATAGCCAATAAAAATGTTTGCTTACGCAGCTTTTCGGTGCTGGGATTATGATTTTTTTTTTTTTTTTTTTTTCAATTTCGATAACTTTTCAATAACTTTCTTTTATTAACGATATGTTTCGTAATTTACCTAGATCCATAGCTGCTTCCTTGGGAAGTGCCGTTAGATACACTCCAGTCAAGCAAGTCAGTCCAATAAACCATGTTATGAAAAGAAGTTCGGCCATTGTAGCTGTTCATAGAGATACCAAAGAAGATAATCAAAATACTCCATTTGAATTTACTGAAGAAAATATGAAGAGAGCTCAAGAAATTATCACCAAATATCCTCCGCAATATAAGAAAGGTGCGTGTATGCCACTTTTGGATTTAGGACAACGTCAATTAGGATTTACATCAATTTCAGTTATGAATTATGTTGCTAAATTATTAGATATGCCACCAATGAGAGTGTATGAAGTTGCTACTTTTTATACTATGTATATGAGACATCCAATGGGTAAATATAATTTACAAGTTTGTACCACCACTCCATGTCAATTATGTGGATCTGATGAAATTATGGAAGCTATAACAAGTCATTTAAAAATTAAACCGGGTCAAACTACTCCTGATAAATTATTCACTTTACAAGAAGTTGAATGTTTGGGTGCCTGTGTCAATGCTCCAATGATGGCTATTGATGATGATTATCATGAAGATTTAACTCCTTCTAAAACTGTTGAATTATTAAAACAATTACAAGCAGGTAAACCTTTGGAAAAAATTGGACCAGTTTCTGGTAGAGATTCTTGTGAACCTTTCAGTGGTAAGAAAGTCTTATTGGGTTCTGAACCAACTGATATTCGTCAATTCACTAGATCAGATTTATAATCTTGATGTTTTTATTTGTAAAATAATTCTCCCAGCATATATTTATTCCATTTTCTTTCTTGTTTTGTAATGCATTTTTCTTTATAATAAATATTCCTTGTTTATGACGGAACCTCATGTAGTATGCGATTACCCATTTTTCAAAACGAATAAGTCCTTGGAAACAATCTCCACGTAATTTTTTGTTGTTCCTGTTCTGTCGAATTAGATCGAAAGATGGTAGCGGTCGATAAGATAACTGATAAGGCGTCTAAGAGGTCATACCTCAGGACAGAAAAGATTATAAATATCCATAGAATCCTCCCTACCCTCTTTCTCTTTACCCCAAGTAAGCAGTGCGATCATTAACATGAAACTAACATCACTTATTAATACTTTTATAATCAATGCAATTTGAAGGTTGCTGAATGCAGTATGGAGTTAAGCATAATGTTAACATACTTAATGAGGGAAGGTAACTACTATGCTAGGTTAAGCACTGGAACTATAAAACAATAATATGAAGACTGGGTTAGACCAGCCTTTGCTCCGGTACAAAATGCAAGGAGTTGACGAAGCGCATCGGTCAGCAATGTGTTATGAAGCATAATAAGAGGGAGGAATATGTTGACCTGAAGAAAAGGGTCTCTGTGGGTATTGAGAGGTTTCAAAAAGGAGAAGTGTGAGGGTGATCACCGCCAATGGTATGAAAGTCTCAACACATGTAATTCATCCCAGTTGCTGCATGTTTATAAAACGCTGACTATGGAGACATATTGAATTAATTTGTGAGATAGAGATGATGGTGTTGATTGGAGTGAGTTCCCAAGGAACTACTTAGTTTACTTTATAGATTGAGTGCCGAAATATAATAAGATACCAATTTTTTCGCAGCCTTTCTGCGTAACGCAGGAAGTCTTTCTGACTCCTGCTTCTGCGATAGTCGAA